ATCCATCCCTTATGTGTGTGACCCTTTAGGCTCCTCCGAAGACGGCAGTAAATACGAGATCCAATCTCGCTTTACAAATCTTAAGCGTTCTCTAGCAAGACATTATGTTTACCCGTATCGGAAAGAGTTAGATGTGATCTAACCGAAAAGCCAGAGATAGCTCAAACGATGATCCTCTTTGTCTCACGATATCATAATCGAACTCATAGTTCGAATGCTTTGTCGTATCCCGAGTAGACTGTTAGAGATAGATGACATTCATCTATAGTGTGGCCACACATTTCCACAGTCTCACTCTTACGACGGGCCCAAGCGATATCTCTCTCTTTCGAGAGGGACAAAGTTCCATCTTGACTATCTACTATCCATTGCATGATTCATAATGTACCCGAGCCCCGTCTTTATAGTCGTCCGGTTAAAGACGACGTTTGACGCAGTCAAAGTACATTACTCGTCATGATGGATACAATAGATATCTCAGGTCTGAGGATCTAAAGTGAACCATCAAGTGAGATTCAAGTCATGGATTATATCCAATAGACAATCTCACGCGAGTCATCCAGTCACTTGTTCCAAACAAGTACCCATGACCGTAATCCGTATCCAATACGTATGATCATTACTATGATCATCGATTACGCCTCATGTTAGTCTTAATTCATCATTGTTCCCACAATGACAAACGACTAAGGAATTTAGGATCGTTCGTAACGATCCAGGGATTATCATTATTTATCAAATATGCAAAATAAATAATGAATAAATAATGTATTCATCTAATAAATACATCGTATCATACATAGTTCTCATATCGTATGATCATCCTAGAGCATTACATCCTTCACCTACTCAGTTGATGGTACCCCCAGAATCCGAGTCCCAAGCTCGGTTTTTGTCGAGGCATCTAGAGCCTGGGAAGGATACCTCATTGCTCAGTTCTACGGGATTGCGCCTTCAGCTTCCAAGATCTTCCAATCTCTTAATCCCATCTGGGGAAGAAAGGGAAACATCACAGTAAGGCGTACAGGCGACGCTGGATGCTTGGTATGTATTCCTGACTTAGCAACACGTGAGTGGGTCCTGGAGGTAGGGCTTTGGCGTGTAGCTGATGTAATGTTCACCTTGGTGGAATGGACCCTTGTATCCTCACTCCGCAAACCAGCTCTTAGCTCCGCTCCAATATGGATCACACTCCGAAATATACCGGCTGATATGTACTCTTTAAAGGGCATCAGCTACATTGCCAGTGACACTGAGAAGATGAGACTAGATCCGTTAACAATCGGAGAAGCAAGAATAAAGGTCGAGGTCCAGCTTGGAGCCGTCCTACCATCCTTGGTTGAGATCGAGGATGACAGAGGTCAGATCATCAAGGTAGAGGTACATTACTCATGGATTCCGCCCCGTTGTTCCAAGTGCAACGAGTTCGGTCACAAGGTAGCACACTGCCCTTCTAAAGGTAACACGCAACTGGGAAAAACTGCTCCCACTGAAAGACCGTCTAAAGTTCAGAGAAGTGAATTGCCAGAGGATACCAGACAACCATTAGACCCCCTGGTTTCTTCTCCTGAGCAGCACATAGCTCAGGAAACCATGCAAACTACCACTCTAGTCCCACCCATTCTTGACCAAACTGCTACATTACCTCACTCCACCCTAGGCCAAACCTCACCAATATCCTCAACCACCCAATCACCTTCACCTACTCCCACCATGCCACCGCTACCTATACCGGCCGAGGCCATACATCAACCCCCCCTCCCACAAAAACTTCTATCCTTGTAACTACGCCATCACCCAAAACCTCTGATCAAGGCCTGCCGAGATCTCCAAACCAGGCCAGATTCTCTTTTGAATCAGAAGAGCAGATTGTTCAGGAGGCACAGCGCCTCCTACGTTCGCGTTTGGTAATCTGTCCTAAGGACCCTCCTAACCCCAAGGAAGGTAGGAAGGCCCAAAAGGGCAAAGGCCGTGTCAACTAAATAGCCAGGATCCCATGCTTTTTTTGCTTTTGATTTTGTTTGGAACACAAAGGCCAAATGCAGTTGTTTTGTTGGAATGTGCGTGGACTGAATAACACCTCGAAGCAGCGCAATATCAAGTCATGGATTTCATCTCAAGACATGTTACTTGGCGCTCTTATTGAAACTCACATCAGGGATGAGAGTGACGCATTTCGTATTGGCCGACACATCTTCCCTGGTTGGTCAATAGCAACCAACCACCAGTCAGCCCCATTGGGAAGGATTTTGGTTGCATGGGATCCCTCGCTTTCGGTTGTCGTTTACAATTCCTCGGACCAAATGATCACTTGTGGTGTTTTTAACATTGCCTCCGGCCACTATGCATCGGTATCATTCATTTACGCAAAGAATACTGCCCTAGAAAGACGACTGTTATGGGGTGAAATCTCCAGCCTTGCAACCAACAACCTAATCTCATCGAGACCCTGGAGATTTTAACCAGATAGTGAGGCCATCAGAACACACATCACCTACCTCCAGCTTTATAGCTCATTCTGGAATGTTCGAGCTGCAGCAATGTTTATCAGCTAGTAATCTTTTTGATCTGGCATCTAGAGGTCATCACTTCACTTGGACTAATAATAGTCCTGAGAATCCGATTGCAAGGAAACTTGATAGAGCGGTGGTAAATGAGCATTGGCTCCTCACGTACAATGACTCCTATGCTACGTTTGATCAACCAGGCCCTTCTGACCATTGCCCGTGCAAAGTTACCCTAAACCCGTCAACCTCGCCCCGTCGGAGAACTAGCTTCAAATTTCTGAACTCTCTAACACTTCTTTCTGATTTCAGGCCATTAGTTGAAAAAGTCTGGAATGCAGAACATATCCAAGGCTCCAACATGTTCCGCATCTCTTCAAACCTCAAGTCACTGAAGCACCACCTAAGGCGCCTCACCAAGGAATCATGCAGCAACATTCAACAACGAGTTGCAGAGGCTTTTGGTGAACTAAAAGTAGCACAAAATCAGCTGCTCCAAAACCCCACATTAGAGTCGGCTAGGCGAGAAGTAGCCCTCCGTGCTACCTGGTCGACATTGGCGGTGGCAGAGGAGTCTTATTTTCGGCAGAAGTCCAGAATACGGTGGCTCAAGGAGGGAGAACAAAATACGAAGTACTTCCATCGGGTGGTATTAGCACGCCAAGCAACTAACTCCATACGTTTCCTTGTAAATGATGCAGGTCTTAAGACATATGATGTTGTGATGATGAAAGCCATGGCTGTCCAACACTATCGAGATATCTTGGGAACGCACGACCACAACATTAGATGCTGGTCAAAGACTGAGCTCCAACAAATACTGCCATTCAGATGCTCTGAAGAGGACAACTCATTCCTTGAAGAAATCCCTACGGAAAGTGACATCAGATCAGTGGTTTTCGAACTTCCAAAGAATAAAGCACCTGGACCCGATGGTTATCCGGTAGAATTCCTAAAATCTTGTTGGGATCTCATTGGTGCTGACATAAATCCTGCTGTGAAAGAGTTCTTTACCTCAGAAAAAATTCTCAAGCAATGGAACACTACCTTGATCTCGTTAATTCCTAAGGTTAAAGGTGCAGACCCGCTCAAGAATTTCAGGCCTATCTCTTGCTGTAACACAGTGTACAAGATCATATCCAAGTTGTTGGTGCGGAAACTTCAACGCATAATGCCTCAGGCAGTTGCGAGTAATCAAACAGCCTTCATCTCGGGATGTAATATCTCAGAAAACGTGTTGCTTGCGATAGAACTGGTGGCGGACTTCAAACCTAGAGATCAGGCACAAAAAGCCCTTCTTAAAGTGGATCTGAGCAAAGCTTTCGACTCGGTACATTGGGAATTCCTACTTTGCATCCTTCAAGCATTGAACCTGCCAGGGAAATTTGTCGGTTGGATCAGAGAGTGCATCACCACTCCGACGTTTTCAATCTCCTTCAATGGGGAATCAACAGGGTTTTTTGAGGGGAAACGGGGACTAAGGCAAGGTGACCCTTTATCACCTCACCTTTTTGTACTTGTTATGGATGTGCTATCTAGACTTCTTGACAGGGCTGTAGTGGAGGGTCGACTGATGCTCCCACCGAAGTGCAGGTCACCTATGGTCTCTCATCTATGTTTCGCAGATGACATCCTTGTATTCTCAACTAGCTCTCCAGCTTCTTTGGCGGGAATACTTCGTTTATTTGAGGCATTCCATAGTACCTCAGGCATGGGACTTAATAAGCAGAAGATAAAGCTTTTTGTTGATGGAGACGATGCACAAGGTGGGAACTTGTTGGCAGAAAACTTGGGAGTCTCATTTGCACATTTACCGGTCAGATACCTTGGCCTTCCATTATCAGCAACTAAACTGGGTCACAGAGAGTGTGCTAATCTACAAGACATAATCAGATCTCGGATGTGCTCATGGACATCAAGACATTTGTCGTTCGCAGGGAGGCTACAACTTATAAAATCAGTGATATTTAGTGTTATTAACTTCTGGGCTTCTGCTTTTGTTTTGCCTACCAATTGTGTGACAGAAATTGAACGAATGTGTGGAGCATTTCTCTGGTCAGGGGCTGCAAACACAGCAAAGGGGGCCAAGGTCTCCTGGAGAAATGTCTGTCAACCTAAGGAAAAGGGGGGCTTGGGACTAAGAAGACTGTCGGACTGGAATAAGGTGCTATGCTTGAAGTTGATTTGGATTCTATTCACAAGGGGTGGATCTCTTTGGGTAGCTTGGTCAAGGGAACATCTATTGCGAGGAAAGTGTTTCTGGCTGATTAAACCAGTGGGAATGGGAAGTTGGGCGTGGAAGGAGCTTCTAAAGCTGAGGCATATGGCGAGGAATCTTCTGCGCTGCAAGGTAGGTCGTGGTAACAGGTGCAGTTTCTGGTATGATTCTTGGCTCCCCATGGGGCACTGATTGACCGACTCGGAGAGACAGGTCCGCGACAGCTTGGAGTGAACCGCTTAGCCACGGTCGCTGAAGCTGTAACAGGGGAACAATGGGTCTTACCTCCCGCTAGAACCGATGAAATCCAATCTATCCATATTGCAATCCTAGAACTGCAACAACCGTCTATGGATCACGAGGACAGATTTTACTGGTCCAATGCATATGCCTCAGAACGACTGACTCAGTTCTCCACGGCCAAGGCATGGAAACACTTCCAACCGCGTCTACAGCCAGTCCCCTGGCATAACGAGGTATGGTTTGCAAACTCTATCCCTAAGCATTCTTTCATCGTATGGATCGCCGCAAAGCAGAGACTCCCCACGATGGATCGTATGGCTGCATGGGGGACAAATGTTAACACTTGCTGCCGTCTATGCGGAACTGAGCCGGAGACTTTGGACCATTTATTCTTCCGCTGTAACTATTCAACCTCTGTTTGGCTGGGGTTGGTAGTGCATGTCGTGCCTAGGCTGCAAGCTTGCACAACTTTCATGGCGCATATGGAGGTTCTGAGACAGTATGATGATTGCAAGATCCTCAGGTACATGTTGCTCCTACTATTTCAAGCAACAGTTTATAATATCTGGGGCCAACGAAACGCTAGAATCCACGGGGCGGAAACCAAACCGGCAGCAACACTGCAGAAGGAAATCAAACGTATAACAAGACGTAGAATATCTTCCCTCAGGCAAGGAAAAGATTTTATAATCGGCAATGAAAGCCTTCTCAGTATCTGGTTTCACCAATTTGACTCCTTGTGAAGGGTGAATATTTATTACACCACTATCTACGAGTCTGAACTGTAAGCGATAAACGTGACTTTGTACAGATTGATATGAATGAATTTACCATTACACAAAAAAAAAGATGGGTATGCACACTTAATACATAGCCATATTGAAAATGATCTATATTCCTGGTGTGTTGATGCTAAAATGACCCTCTCATAAATGTATACAAACTGTTTATATAATTTAGAACTAAAACAAAACCATTGTACATATACACATCTATGTAAAACTAGGCACTCTAAAATCTATTGCATGGATATATATTACAATAATCCTATATACAATGTAATACCATATATAAACTCAATTACGTAGCAAACATCTACAAATTATATATATGTCTTTATTGTTATAACTACAAGTTTAACCATGATATGTGCATAGTATAATGGTTAAATTATCCTATGTACAAAGTTATCGTATAAATAGTACATAAACATCTTATTGATTAACGGTTGTTATAGAGGTAGTATTTATATCGGACCAACTTCTAAAATACCTTCAATGTGCTACATGTACTTCTATGTATACCCTCCTTTAAAATTAAAAAAATTTCTACTTCTATTCTACCCTATTTGATGTATAATTACTAAAATATCCTTATGACATTATTTTATATTTAATTTTTAATTACAAAATTTTCTCGAAACTAGAGTTTCTCTCTCTTCTTCTTCTTTTTCGGTTTCTCTCTCCTCCACCATTAATGCCCATAGAGCTTTCTCTCTCTTCTGTATTTTCTCTCTCCTCTTTATCTTGCTATTTTCACTTAAAAACCGACAAAATCAAAAGAAAATCAAAGCAAAATCGGTGAGAAAATTGGTAATAGGTAAACTAGTGTCGAAATCTCAGTTTTTTCATGCACATTGATGATTCTTGCGGTTCTTTTCTTCTAATTGTTGTTGTTTTCGTTGTTTTATCGTTTCTAATATGCTATAGTCATAGATTTGTGTCGAATATGCATTTTAGGTGTTTTTAGAATAATATTGTCTATCACGGGTCATACATGTTATATGGTCACATAGTCACTTGGTCACATTGTTCACAGATCATTAGGATAACAAGCCACATGTGTCACAATGGTTACAAAGTCATATAGTCACACGGTCACATGGTCACACGGTCACATGGTTTTATAATCACATGGTCACAAGGTCACATGGTCACACGGTCACATTATCACATGTTCACATAGGTCACATGGTGATATGGTTTAGAATGGTCAGATTGATAATAATGGTCACATGAGCGATATCTAAATTTAAGCGTGAAAGGTACAACTTATTGACTACAAATGCGGCTGAATCGATTAACTTTGTATTGAAGAAGGTAAAAAGGTACAACTTATTGAGTACAAATACGGCTGAATCGATCAAATTTGTATTGAAGAAGGCAAAAAGGTTTTCGGTGCTAGGCTTGCTTGATATTTATCTTTCCAAGATTGTGAAATGGTTCGATAAGTAAATAGTAAAAGAAGGATATGTCGATGATTCTCAATAATTGACACCGCATGTTGACAAAGTAATGCATTAACAGTTACAGTAGTTCATAAAGTTGTGAATGAAACATCGATGACCCAAATTTTGTAAATCTTGTGGTTTTGCCTCCTATAGTGGAAGAGAAAAGGAAATATGGGAGGCCGAATAAAAAACAGTATCTTGGTCCTAGTGAAGTCCGAAAGAGAATCCATTATGCAAAGGGAACATTAACATCAACAATGTCAGAGAGAACACTTAATTTAGAGTGAAAAAAGATACGAAATTTATATAATAATGGTATATATATTTGTATAATAATGTGTTAAAAAAATCTTTGTATAATAATGTTGTATTATGTTTTGTACAATATTGTGCTAAATTTTTTGTATAATAATATGTTAAAATAATTCTGAGTAAATTTAGTTATCCAGTAATTTCTATTTAATCAGGCATATATCTCACTTGTGTTACACACTAAATAAATTAACTTATATGAGACAACGTTGTGACCCATTGTGACCGGCATGTGACCATGTGACCGAAGTGCAATTTTGCACTGTGTGACCATTGTGACCGACTGTGACCCGTGACCGAAATGTATTGATAAATATATGTCAAAATTTAATTTTTAAGCTTTGTGATGGTTTATCATAGTGTATATATCAAATATATAGTGTGTGTGAGAAAATTTCAAAATATTTTAAAGGGTTTGTAGAAGGCATTTTAGGTGTTTTTAGAATAATATTGTCTATCACGGGTCATACATGTTATATGGTCACATAGTCACTTGGTCACATTGTTCACAGATCATTAGGATAACAAGCCACATGTGTCACAATGGTTACAAAGTCATATAGTCACACGGTCACATGGTCACACGGTCACATGGTTTTATAATCACATGGTCACAAGGTCACATGGTCACACGGTCACATTATCACATGTTCACATAGGTCACATGGTGATATGGTTTAGAATGGTCAGATTGATAATAATGGTCACATGAGCGATATCTAAATTTAAGCGTGAAAGGTACAACTTATTGACTACAAATGCGGCTGAATCGATTAACTTTGTATTGAAGAAGGTAAAAAGGTACAACTTATTGAGTACAAATACGGCTGAATCGATCAAATTTGTATTGAAGAAGGCAAAAAGGTTTTCGGTGCTAGGC